CTATCTAACTAACTAGCTAACTATTCTGGACCTAACACACTGATTTTTAATTCAAAGAAAGAAAAATAGTTTCTTAGTTTCCATTTTTAATATGTTTATTCTTAATAAAATGTGTTTTTGTGAGATTTGCTTAAAGGGCCAATATTATGTTTCTCAGGCGTACATTTAAATACTATACCATAATAAAGTATCTATGTCAGCTTTAGTTGTTATTAAAATGCTGTTTTTATGTTTAAATAGAAAAATAAACTTATCTTCTCATCACTTCTTCTTCTAAACGCCTTGAAATTGGCCTCTGTGTCTTTAAGAACCACCTTTTAATCTGAAAAGAGCTTCACTGAATGAGAACTAATGTTGAGAGCTCAGCAGACAGTTAAGTTTCACTTTCACTTTGACCCCCCGAGAGCCTGCAGAGGTCATGGGTGGGGCGTGTGGGGAGGGGCTGCGCTCTGCCATGAGGAAGTTCGGCTTATGGACACGTCCCAGGGGTGTTTCTGGTACCAAAAGGTGTTTCTGGTACCAAAAGGTGTTTCTGGTACCAAAAGGTGTTTCTGGTCCCCACCTGTCGTTTTGCTCCTCAGCATGGCTTCATAAAAACACTGGAGGATTTCTCAAACATGCATGAATGAGCAAGGCTTTTGGCATGTTTTTTTATAGAGTGTAACATTATAACATGATATAAAACTCAAAAAAGTTGATTTTACATGATATTGCCCCTTTAACATTGCCGAGAACCTTTCTAAGGTATATTTTATACATTTGTATAATAAACTGTAATTGACTTCAGTGGAGTTAAAGTCTTTTATTATTTTTGAATACATTTCAGTTAAATTTACTTATGATATGAATATATATCAGGGTGCTATAGGGAAAAAAGCAATCAGGTTCTTTTCAAATCTAATTACATACAATTTAATATCAACCCAATCAAGTCAGCTCTGTAAATTATTCTGCTGAGTTCTCATATCATAATATACTTTTTTTAAGTTATTGTTAAAAAAAA